TGTAGGATTTGTTGTATTTGTTTGTAAGTCACACTCTGCTTTTACTTGCCTAGGCGAGACATTCGCCATAAACATGGTCATATTTACTGGAACTTTGTTCATGCTTGCTGTCTTGCGTTCAATATGTTACTATTACCTAGCTTCAAATTTGTGGCAATATCTAGGATTTTCCCTCTTGTTACTTGGGTTTTCCCTTGAATGCCAATGCTTAATCTAACTTTTGAGTACTTTTTTTCCGATGGAGTGGCTCTCTCATCCCCAAAATGTTACTTTTGGTTGCCTGAATCTCTTTCAATTTCTTTTGTTTTGGTCTGTATGTTCTGTTCTGTCAACGACTGCTCTGTTCTGTTAATTATATTCTCAGTGTGTATTTTCTTCTCTTGCAGTTAGCCTGCATTTTGGGTTGGGAGAATCTTCACATGATAAGAGGCCTAAATTTTAAAATTCATAGACCAAAGTTCTCTTTATTCATTTTCTGTGTGTTCTGAATTCCATGATCATGTGGATTATAAAAGACAGCACGTTGAGATGGATTAACGGAAGGACGGTAGACTTGTGAAACTTTTTTCATGTTATTACTATTTGTTTAAGAGTGAATATGCTTTAGATAATCCCGCACATTTACATTTACCCTGATCCTAGTGGTTTGTTAATCAAGGCAGACCTGGTTATCAAGTCCAAAGGTGTTTGGGGAACGTAGGATTTTTATAATACGGTTATTGAAAATTTAGAGTAAATGATATTTCCTCGGTCCTAACAAAAAGTTCTCCTAGGTTCCACTGGGTTCTAGTGGCCACCGAAGCTACTGCTCTCATACGGTGCTTTGTTCATAAAATTGATGATTCCTACCTCCTTAATCCCCCGGCAAACCCCCGCCTAGTTCTGACCCCAACTCCTCTCACATCAACGTTAATTGCACCTCGTAAGTATTATTGACTTTTAAGTCTAAACTTTTGACTTCAAAGTCAACTAAAATTGCAGGGTACAATTGACGTGGGTGTGGGGGATGAGTTAGAGTTGAGACGGGGGAGGAGGGGTTATCGGGGGGTTAGGCGGTGTAGGAATCATCAAAGATATGTGACAGCCCCAAAGAGGGTGGAAAGAAAGACATTAGAGTGTTTGACTAATGGGAGTTATTTGTGTGCTCTCTTTTACACCCTCTTTTCTAAAGAATCACCATTCCTGTCACCACTCCATAGCCAAAGCACCCTCTACCCAAGTCCACGCTACTCGTCAATGACCCCACAAGATTCACAACTCGTCTTAGATTGGGATACTTTCTAGAACAATGCCGGTCTCATGAAGCCTTTGGCCGTGGGGTTGGCGTTGGTGGATTCCAATCTTGTTGTTAGACTCATTGCCGACCAGGAAGTGGTAGATCTAAGCGGTGGTGGATTTGCACCTCTACCTCACCAGAGTAAAAAGTTTAATCTAGACTTGGAAAGTGAACCGATTGAATTTGATAGGGCGTAATGACGTCGTTTGATAAGACTTTGTTGTTTTTGTTGTGTGGTATATGCACTATTATTTCAAGTTTGGCTAATTAAGGTCGAAGACATCGTGATTTTTAAGGCTTAAATTAGGAAAGTCCATCAACTTTACATCTTACATTTGAGGACTTATATTGTTGCCACTTTTGGTTATGTATAGATATTTTGATGTATTCCTTTCGTCCCTTAAAATAGTACTCTCTGTTTTAGAATATCAAATATATTTTTTTACAACTTATAATAAAAAAGTGTTACTGTTTGACAAAAAAAGAGTATCATTTTTCAACTAGTGTGTAAAAAATCATTTCTTCTAAGGCAAATTCAATGGTGGACTTATGGTGCACCATGCACCTACATATGATCAAAATAAGCATTTTCTTAATATTTAAATAAGCATCTGTGTTTTTAAATAAAAAAATTTAAAAAAATATTTTTGATGAAAGAAGATCTATAAAAATAATATGCACCTATGGTGGATCATAGAAACTTAGACTCCGTTCCGTTCAAATTATTTTTTCTAGTCTGATCTGATTTTTTGTAGTTCTGATCTGATCAGGTTTGATCTGATCTGATTAATTATGATTTGATTTAAAATTCAAATCAATAATTTGATTTGAGTTTATAATAACGTTTGAAAATTGTAATGATAATTCATATTATAATATAATCAATATTTTTTATTTTTAATTATTTTTAAATAAAATAAAATTAGTTAATTTATACGGAGTATATTAGAATAATCATTCATATTTTAATGTAATAATATTTTTTATTTGATGATTATTGTTTGTGAAATAAGAATATTGGTTTGATATTTTAATAATTAGTTCATATATACATTAGAACAAATATTTAATTTATATATAATCAATATAGAGAAGAGATAGTATTTTTATTAAAATATCTCATCTTTATAAAAGATCAGAACTTTAGAAACTTAAATTACAAGCAGCAATAAAAACGTATTTTAAAAGTAGAATAAGATTGACATTGTCAATGTATTTTAAAAATAATATTTCCGACGTCTAATAATTAAGGATTAATTTCTAAGTTTTCTATTTAACTTGTTTCTAAAGTTTATTTTTTTCATTTTTAAGAATAATAATAATAAGAGTAAATTCCATAATTGGTCCTTTATAACATGGGGGTTTCCATATTTAGTCCTTTATTATCAAATATTACCCCGTAGTCCTTGTTTTTAGGGTACCGTTCCATAAATGGTCCTTTTTTGATCTTCTGCCGTGTTGGTGTTAATTTAAAGGCTAAAAGTATAATTTGACATCAACATTATGTCTAGTGACATGTTCTGATATTGGTTAAGCGGATAATACAAAAATAATAACTATGATTGTGGGCTAGAATTCTGACGAAAGATCACATTCGTAGACTATCGTGGAGAAGACGAGTTTTATGACCCCTGAGGGCCTATACTGTTACTTGGTGATGGCATTTGGATTGAGAAACTCTGGGGCAACATACACCTGGATGGTTTCTCAGGTGTTCAAAGCCGTCCTGGGGCGGACCATGGAAGCTTATGTTGATGACATGATTGTCAAGACCAAAGAGGCCCGAGACCACGTCCGGGACCTTGAGGAGGTCTTTGAAATCATGATGAAGGTAAACTTAAGATTAAATCCGAAGAAGTGTACTTTTGTTGTTCAGGGTGGAAAATTCCTGGGGCACATGGTTAGCCGGAGGGGAATTGAGGCTAACCCGGAAAAGGTTAGGGCCATCATGGAGATGGAACCACCGAGGACAGCGAAGGAAGTGCAGCGGTTGACGGGGAGATTGGCGGCCCTAAATCGTTTCCTTTCAAAGCTGGCAGAGAAGGCGCACCCGTTCTTTACTGTAATCAAGAAGAGGGCGACCTTTGAATGGACGCAGGAATGTCAAGAGGCATTTGAAGTATTGAAGAGATATCTGGCAAGTCCTCCGGTTTTATCCAAGCCGGAGCCCAGGGATGTCCTGACCTTATACTTAGAAATTGCAGACTGTGCCATTAGTACTGTGATTGTGAGGGAAGAGAACGGGGTCCAGCATCCGGTCTACTATGTCAGTAAGACCTTGAGAGATGCGGAGTTAAGGTATTCCCGCCCGGAAAAGGCCATGTTAGCGGTTTTTTGGACGGCGAAGAGGTTAACCCCGTACTTTCAAGCGCACCGGATTGTGGTACTCACCAATGAGCCTCTGGCATCACTTACCCGGAGCCCAGCGGCATCAGCCCGGATGACCAAGTGGGCGGTCTTTATCAGTCAGTACAATGTGGAGTTCAAGACGCGTCCATCAATCAAAGGGCAGGCACTCGCCGACTTTCAGGTTGAGTGTACTGCCACGGAGATGACAAGAGCCCAGGTCGGAACCCGGGTAGAAGATGACTGGTGGGTGATGAGCATTGACGGATCTTCCGGGTCTCGATCCTATGGAGCAGGTATTGTCTTGATCACTCTGGAAAATTTCCGGATATATTATGCTATCAGATTTCAGTTCCGCGTATCCAACAATGAAGCCGAATATGAGGCCCTAATCAATGGACTGAGAATCCTCGTCAAGCTGGGGGTGTCCAGGGTTCAAGTATACAGCGACTCCCGCCTGGTTGTGGGACAAATCAGTGGGGAGTTCGAAGTAAAGGAAGAAAGAATGAAGAGGTATCGAGACTTGACCTTGGATATGCTGGGAAGATTCGAGTATAAGCTAGAGCACATACCCCGGGCGCACAATGCAGAAGCTGACGTTTTGTCCAAGCTTAGCGCTGAATCACCAGAATATATAAGCAAGTTAGCAACTGTGGAGGAGTTGGCAACCCCGAGTCTCAACAGGGACGAAATGCTCTGGGTATCAGCCGATCCTCCGGAATGATTGGACAGGTTGGCCAGATATATTGAAGACGGGTAGCCCCGGTAGATCCGCAAGAAGCCCGGTTGTTGCAAATGAGGGCACCTACCTACAAGGTGCAGGATGGAGTCCTGTATAAGCGGTCTTACAACGGCGTTTTACTCCGCTGTCTCAGGGCGGCAGAGGCAAAAGCGCTTATAGAAGAGATACATGAAGGAGTATGTGCTGCACATCAGGGCCCATACTCTATTTCCAGAAGGGCGATAATCCAGGGATATTTCTGGCCAACAATGAGGAAAGATTGTGAGGAATATGTGCGTAAGTGCCCAACCTGTCAACAATTTCAAAATATGCCCGGGAGGCCAGCCACGAATTACACGCCCATCAGTTCAGTGATCCCCTTCTCCAGGTGGGGAATCGATATTGTGGGTGCCCTGCCGAAAGGGATTGCACAGGCAAGATGGATAGTGGTGGCCATAGACTATTTTACCAAGTGGGTGGAAGCTGAGCCACTTGCTGGGATAACAGGGAGGCAAATGATTGACTTCGTGGGAACCAATATACTTTGTAGGTTTGGGGTCCCGAAGCAGATCATATCCGACAACGGAACCCAGTTTGAGGAGGCAGAGTTCCAAGACTTCCTCAAAACTTGGGGAATTCAGCATACGAAGGTGTCTGTAGCCTATCCCCAGGCTAATGGACAGGTGGAGAACGTCAACAGGACAATCATAAGTGGGATAAAAAAGAAGCTGCTATCAGAAGGAAGCAGATGGGTGGATGAACTACCCAGAATCCTGTGGACATACAGGAGAACTCCTAGAAGAGCTACGGGTGACACTCCTTTTGGCTTAGCCTATGGTTTTGAAGCCCGGGCACCAGCTGAGACGGTGATCCCTACCAGGAGAGAAATGGAATATGACCCGTAAGTGAACGAACAAAATCAGGCCATAGAGCTGAACTTCGTAGAGGAACGAAGGGATGAAGCGCGGATCCGGGCAGAGAATTATCGTCGCCAGGTGAAATCTTACTTTGACAGTAGGGTGAAACCGAGGGCGTTCCAAGTGGGGGATTACATCCTGAGGAAGCGAGAGAAGAGTCAACCAACTAAGGGTGGAAAGCTGGCCAAGAAGTATGAAGCACCTTATATCATCAAGGCCGTTGTTCGCCCAGGTACCTACAAGTTGATGACTCCAAAGGGAAAGGAAATTGATAGGACGTGGAATGTAGAGCACTTGGTCAAATTTTATCAGTAAAGTTGTTTTGTAAAGTACTCTATTTTTGGGTTTAAGACATTTGTTTCAATAAAATTTTCTTTCCTCTAAATCCAAGTGTCTTTGCAATTTCATTGTTCTGTAAATTTCTCCCAAAAAAAGGGGGGGGAGACCACCCCCGGGCAAGATAGACCCACATTACAGGGAGGTAGATAAGTTTATTCCACCTGCTAAAGATAGGGGAGGTAGATAAGTTTATGCCCCCCGGAGGTAGATAAGTTTATGCCTCCGTCAAATATGAAGCAAGGGTTGGGACTGGACTTTGAGAGCCTTTACAACCTGGAATTCAGGAAGAACAGCAAATAGACTTCGAGGGCTGAAGCTTAGTATTCCACCAGCACAGATCAACCGAGCAAACAAACTTCGAGGGTTGGCGCTCAACTGATCCAAGGTAGATAAGATTATGCCTTAACCCGGAGGAACAGAGGTCAGGGGCAAATGAGGTAAGCTCCCATGGCATGTCCAAACCCCGAGAGATGAGATTTTATACAAAGAATTAAACATGTTTGTACTTGCATTAGATGATGTGCAAAGAAATAAACATAAAGGGCTATGCTGATGGGCCAAAGGTTAAACCTTTGGTTCGCAATAATAGTTCCTAATGAGGTGAACGAAACAAAGAATAAGAGAGTTTATCGACTGCTAATTCAAAGGTCGTATCTTTGAATTACAATGATAATTCCTCATCAGAAATTAAAGGACATTCCTTGGCATGAGACGCAGGAAAAACTCCCGGACCAAACACGTGAATGCCACTTGAAATGAAACAAGAAAAGAAAATTGATTTGCAGGGGGCTAGGCACTGAAGGAGGGCCAGTTGCACCCATGCAGTCAACTAGAAGGGGGTGGGGGCCCCCTCCATGGGCTCCTTCTCTTTGACGAAGGACACGCGGCGGAATCATCAGCTTCATCCATGTCATAGTCTTCCCACGCCCCAGGTTGGGGGGCAGGTGCTCCAACTGAAGAACCATCATTGGGAGACTTTGGCAGATTTGGAGAAGCTGTCCGGCTTTCACGCAAAAGTTCTGCCTCTGCGGGCGGAAAGGAACGCCCAAGTCTGGCCTTGCGCATCCTCTAGTACAAGGCGAAGTCTTGGAGGGTCATAGAGTCCCAGTCTATCCTCCCGGATGGGAGCCTGGGTGGACTAGGAGGTGAAGGCGCAGGAAGACGGGGCGGTGGATAGAGTCTTGAGAATTTGCCGGGACTCAACCAAGCCATGTCATTGGATTGAGCCGGAGAGGCAGGAAAATCATCATCTGAAGATGAAGAAGTTCCGGAATGGGTTAGGTCGATGAAAACCTTCCTTTGGGCTTTGTTTGACATATTGAAGAAATCAGAAAGGAGTGAATTAGCAGAAAACCATCCTTCCCCATTTATAATAAAGGGGAAGGAATAGTTGGGAAGCAACAATGCGGAAGACTTGGTGATTGGTGGATTAAGCGGTTGGAGGTTCCCAAGGTTTGACTGGGGCGTCGCCACTTAAGTGCGAGGGCCAATTCATGGGGCCCATCTGCACTCTGGGAAAAACGTTATCCTTGGATGGAAAGGGGTTAAACAGATACAGACTCCTACTTCATGCAGATGATGACTCACAAGGTAAGATTATGATAAACGACAGGAGATAAAGGTTTTTCATTAAATAACTCAAATAGAAAATTACATTCTTTTGGGTTACAACAATGGGCCTTATCCCTGATTTAACAACAAAACACTTAAGAGACGGGAGATAAAGATTTTCATTAGATAACTCAAATAGATGATTACATTCTTTTGGGTTACAACAATGAACTTTATCCTTGATCTACTTCTATCATACTGCTGGAAAAATCTAAAGGCAAGGCGAATCGACACTTCAAGGATCTAAGAGGAGTGCATTTGCTAACCCTTGCTGCCCTACCTAAACCAGAAAAGAAACCCAGAGCGGGGAGGTGTGGAGAGAGCCCACCGTCCCTCTTGATGCATCCTTCAAAAGAATACGAAAGGGTGCCAACGGGTTGGGATTGAAAAGCATCCCCCCCGTGGACACCCTCCAGTCACTCCCATGAAGGCGGACCAGGAGGACGATGAAGCATGAGGGAAAGACTTACGGCTTATTTCCGCCTACACTGGAGGAGGAGGCGGATCCTGGAAGGTTCCGTCCTCTTCCCTCCGTATAGACGGACACCTATTTCCCCCCATGTCATAATCCCCCCATTCCTCAAGATGCTGTCCATATGACTGCTGAGGGGAGGGAGGACCCTAGAAGGAAGGCCTCGCACCGGAGACCAGCCGGATGGCTCCTGAATGAGGATTGCGTCTTTTCTGCGGACGGGATGTACCGGTACAGCCAGAAGAGACTTCCGTCCTAATACCGTCAGGGAGCACGCCGGGATCCAGAAGATTACCCCCTGAAACTTGTTGAGGGAGGTGAAGATGGTTCTCTCCCCAGGGCAGGGGAGAAGTCACCGATTGTTCGGAGCCAAGTGAAGGCCCAAAGGAGAGTTCAGGTGTTGGGGCTCCAAGTGAGGGAAATGCCAAGGAAGAAGAATCAGAAGAAGAATCGGAAACAGTTAGATCAATAAAGACGACTCTGTTGGCATTATTAGCCATGTTGGGGAGTGGGTTGTGATAATCAAAGTGTTCTGCCCAGTTCCTTAAATAGGTGAGTAATGCTAAGAGGGAAGCGCAAGGGACGCAGAGTCAAAGGGCTAGTCCGATTGGGAAACGGTTTCGGATTCCTGAGGAGAGCTAGGGTTGCGCCGTTTCATCATTGGGCTGAGGTGAATTGGGCCCGGCGTAATTAAGGTGGGCCATTCACTTAGCGCGGCGGGAGGCAACGCCTTACAAATGTGGTTAAAGTGAGGAGTGATTGTTGGGCCTGGGGGAGGAAGAGGAAAGTCAGGGAAAGGATGATTAAAAAAGAAATAAAGAAGCTTTTGAAAGATAAGAGTACCTGCTCCATGGAGTGTAATGCATTGAGTGCAAGCAGGTCCGGGCGTGCCTGGGGAGTTGTGGGCTCCTGCACTGATTCCCTCATCTTCTCCAGGTTCGCCTGAATAGTCCAGTGGGAGGCTTGCAGGGAACGCAAACCACGAGAAAAACCTGCCCAACCTTCTTTGAAGACAGGATAGGTCTGTGGCGTGAACTTACGCCGGATGGGGAGACTGAAGGCTGGGGGTGCCGCGGCGGAACGCTGTTCCTCCGGTTCCTGCGGTTTCCCAGTCTCTCTCTCTGTATCTGGGGAAGCTTCCGTCTCCTTCTGCCCCTCAGCTTCTTCCTCCACCCCTTGGGAGGTAGCTGCAGTTGGTGGGGAGGTATTGTCCGCAGCGGGCTGGGGCTGCACTATTGGTCTCTTGAGCGGTGTTTGGTCTGGGAGTTCATCTATCTCATGATCTAAGCTATCCAGGTTGGGTAACTCCAAACCTCCGGATGCGGCAGCAGGGGTGGTGTTCTGAGTACTAGAAGAGGCAGTCAGGGGGATGGGCGAAGCAGGAGTACCGTCACCCTTACTCTTCTTGGGAAGGAAATCATCGTCAGTGACCCCTTCCCGTGGCCGCTTCTGGGACGGTGTGGGTTTCCTTAGCCCAGGAATGGCGGAGATGGGAACGACATCCAGGGCAGCAGTCGGCTTGCAAATGGCCAAGGCAGTAGTGTTGCCTTGGGCCTGGTTCCTGGAGGAACTCTCGGATGGATTGGATTCCACAACGGGAGGAGCCTTTGACCTTTCAGGGGAAGATACCCCTTCAAACGGGATGGGGTCGGGGCCAAGAGGGTAGTAGAAGTCCGCCTTCTTGTACAACCGGGCGTCCTGAAGGGAGTGATGTGAAATCAAACCCCCTTTCCCTCTCAAGGCATTGTATGCTGCCTCCGCCAGGGGTATAGCAGCGAACAGTGTCCGAGAGATGGAACTACGGCGTACTACACCCGGTAGGTCTATAGGGCTATGAACCGGGAACTCAATGACGAAGTAACGGCGGGCCCATTTGTCGTTTTTGGACTCGACCCTCTCAAAAATTGGAGACTGGGGATGAGGAAACAGGCTATAGTAAGGGAAAGCCCCGCCGATGCTGAAAAGGACAAGAAATTCGTCCAGCATGGGGGTCCTGTCCAGGGCACAGCATCGCAAGATGTAGGACGCGACATACTTGTGCGCGTTCGCAGTTAGTTGACCAGGGGGAACCCAAAATGGTGGTAGATATCGCGAACCAGACCATGGAGGGGCAATCTGAACCCGTTCTCCACCGAATGGTAGTGCATGACCATATACTTCTGGGGGTCCGGATTGTGAGATAGACTAATTCCTCCAACAGCATCAGGATAGTGGACCCGGAAGCCTCTTCCTAGAAATTTGGCCATTTCTTGAAGTTCATCCTCTTTGATGATAGAGGATTCGTGGACCCAAGTTGTGGGATCAGTGGAGGGGGCTATGTCGCAGAGAGAAACGAGGATTTAGGGACAATTGCAGTCAAAATTTGGGTCGGGTCAAGATTCGGCGATAGAGGAAGAAGAAGATGAGTCTAGAAAGGGTCTATATCCGTTGTAAGGAGGGACCCAAGGCACTCGAGTGCGACGTTTCTAATCCGACATGAAAACCGAAGGCGGCTCATCATTAGTTTTCTAGCGACACGTCGCCATAAACCTAGGGGGCTTGTGATGGATATCGGGTCTGATGGACCCGACTCTAGGTCCAATAAAGGCCCGCAACCGTGCGAAGTGGACAAGTCCAGATACAATTAGCAGATTGAGCCCGCTAAGACGCTAGTGGCGAATAGAAAGGACGGCCCAATCATGGGCCGAGTTAAAATGACCCAGTCCGAGGAAGGAATGGGACACGTGGCCCACACCACCAGATTGTGGGCGAAATGGGAAGAGAACGAGACCGGAAGAGAGGGAATCACAATCCCATGATCTCCATAATTCCTCCCATTATATGTAATTTTAATTAAGAAATTAGAAGTACTATAAAAGGGGAAAGAACCCGCCATTGTAAGGGGACAACCCAAGCAATTACACACTTAATTAAAGAATATTATTGAGTGGATACATTTTTCCGATTCATAGTTCGTTCTTGGTCCGCCATCTGATCGGGTTAATCCCATCAAAAGTACTACCTCTGTTCCAGTGTATTTGTTCAGTTTGACTTTTTTGAGACAAACTGGACAAATTTTGAACTCCAATTACTCTCAATTTATATTGCATATTAGCATAATGAAATACTCCCTCCGTTCCTTTAAACCCTTCCACTTTTGACTTTGGGCAAAAATAAGGAAAGTGTAATTTTGGTTGACTTTCCAATTTTGCTTCTGATGTGATGGGTAAAAGTAAGATGTGATGGATTGATTATTAAAGAAAAAGTATGATGTGATAGGTAGGGTATGAAAAAGTAAGGGTAAAAGTGATTTTTAATAGAAAGTAGAAGTGTTTTAGGGAATTCAAAAAAAACGAAAGGGGAAGGGTTTTGTGGAACGGAGGGAGTACAATTTTGAAAGTTCTCAATACGATAAATCCAATAAAATCATTTTTATGTTAAAATACATTACGGTTTTTATTTAATTGAAGCTCAAAGTTTATCCAGTTTGACTCGAAAAAATCAAACTGGACAAATACACTGGAACGGAGGGAGTATCATGTAAATAATTACTAATAGTAGTTTTTTAAAGACAGATTTGCTTCACTGTATTATTTTAAAATTTACTTTTATTTTTTTTTAAATCGTTAGAATATTCATCATATCTTCATTTGGATCATGATAATTTTGAGAATCCTACCGTGAAATATGAATATTGTAATAGTTACGGAGTATTTTATTAAAAGAGTATTTTTAGAATATCCTCTCTTTTATACTCTTTTTGTTCCACAAAACCCTTCCCTTTTCGTTTTTTTTTAATTTCCTAAAACACTTCCACTTTCTATTAAAAAACCACTTTTACCCTTACTTTTTCATACCCTGCTATCACATCATACTTTTTCTCTAAAAACCAAACTATCACATCTTACTTTTACCCATCACATCAGGGGCAAAATTGGAAAGTGAACCAAAGTTACACTCCGTAGTTCGTACACACTAACTGGCAACTGCATAAAAACCCTTTTGCTAATGTTCCACTAGTAAGAAATGAAAATGTTCTTTTTTGGTCTAAATACCTAGCTACTTTATTGTTCTAAATAAAAATTAAAATTATTTGAGTGATGAGAATAGAAAAAATTAAAATAACTACATATATTTCCCGACTCCCTCTGTTTTACAAAACACTCCCTCTCTCATTTTTTTTCTCTCTCACCAAACCACTTCAATTTTCTATTAAAAAAAACCACTTACTCCTACTTTTTCTTACCCAACCTATCACATGATACTTTTTATCGAATAATTTATCTATCACATCTTACTCTTATCCACCACATTAAGGGCAGAATTAGAAGTCAACTATAATTTAACAGTTCTTTATTTTGCCACTTGGTCATCAAAGTTGGAATTATTTTCAAGAACGAGGGAGAAGATAAATAAATATACACGGTGGTGTATTTCAAACACAGAAGATTGAAAATTCTAAAGAAATACTACAACATCCTTTTGACTTATAGATTGAAGACTTCTATAGTAGAAAACGTGATTAATTAATTTAACAGTTTTATAGCGTCAAAAGAAATTAATGGTATTATGCAATGAATTAATTGAGACAACCAAGAAGGTACGGAGTGTATATTTACAGAGAACAGCCATATTGGATCTGTACATAGGTTGTAAAAGTTCCAAAAAGTCAAGAAAAAACACCTATAAATAGCGGATCAAAACCCGTTTGTCACATATGCATCCAAAACATTATTCCCAACATTAATCAGTTTAATTAGAGAGGGTAATAAATATAAATATATATATATATATACCTCAATATAATAATGTCAATGGGTCTTACTACTACTAAGCATGGGGTATTGCTATTATTTGTGATTATCATGCTATGTGGAGCACTAATCTTCATCACTCAAGTCGAGTCTTCATCAAGAAAGCTTAATAATAATCCGTCGTCGATGGAGAGCAGTTTTGCCGCCACCATATTAGGGAAATTTCATTCTGGACCAAGTGAAAGGGGTAAAGGCCACCACTAATGATCGAGTATAAGAAAACAATCTTCAAACCTATATTTATATTTATCTCCATCATCAATCGTCTATCTCCTGCATGCTTATTATGTTTATTAATAATTTCTTGTTTTCTCCCTTTTCTTATTAGCTTATATATGAAGAAGGGAAACACGACAAGAAAAAAAGTTTATGTGTATTGTCTTTGACATTGTTTGTGTCTTCGTCGTTATATTATTTCTAGTACGTGTATCCTATATTACAATGTATGCATGCATTCCAATGTACTCAAATTCAGTACGTGACTTGTCTCTCCCTAGTTCAATACTCCATCCGTCACAATTTAATTTATATGTGTACCATTTACACGATCAAACTTTAACTATGTTCTTTACCCATTTGAGAAAATAATATAATCATGTCATATCTTGTTTTGTACAACCTTTTTTTATAGTGGTTATATATATATATATATATATATATATATATATATATATATATTTATATTTATATTTATATTTATTTAGTTCAATATTAAGTTTCAAATAACTTGATTTAGAAAAAAATTTGGTCAAACCTCATAAAAGACAACATGCGATTTAAATTGGGAAAGAGTGAGCAATTAATTACTCCCTGTCTGAAATTGTTTTTCACACTTGACTTCCACAATATTTATTACAATAAATTTTTACCATTTATATATATATATATATATATATATATATATATATATATATATATATATATATATATATATATATATATATATATATTGACTCCAGTGAGATGACACCTTACGGTGAGATGACATGCTTCGGTCAGATGACACAAAGCTCACCACTGGCCACTGCAAAGCTCACCAAAAACAACTACAAAGCTCACCAAAGTGTAAGGCAAAGCTCACCATATTTTTTCAACACTTTGAATTTTTTTCCAAAAAATAAAATCAAAGGAAGGGATGCTGATTGGACTTTAACTGTTGACCGCCAGCATTGACCGCCGCCGCCGCCGGACTCCGGCCGCCACCGCCGGCTGTCGCCACCTCCAGCCACCGCCGGTCGCCGTCGCCAGAGTCCGGCCGCCGCCGCCGCCGTGCCGCCACTGCTCCGCCGCCTGCCACTGCCATTGACCGGTGTAGCTATTTTATTTTTAATTAATTTTTTAATTTTCAAAATTTAAAAAAAAGGTGAGTTTTGGTGTTCAAAGTGGTGAGCTTTGCTTTATTTTCAGGTGAGCTTTGCATTGTCCATTGGTGAGCTTTGCGTCATCTGACCGAAGCATGTCATCTCACCATAAAATGTCATCTCACTGGAGTCAATCCCATATATATATATATATATATATATATATATATATATATATATATATATATATATATATATATATATATATATATATATATATATATATATATGATAACAATACTCATGTAATAATTGTAAGAATTTAAATAAGTAAAATTTGCTGTGAATGAGACTAAAACATAAGTGCATTATTATAGTGCATTATTACTACTACTATTACAATAAAAGAGGAGATAAATTTTTATGGTAATAAATCAAGAATTATAATAAATTATTTTGGAAATAAATCTACAATTTTGCATTACTATAAACAATTTTATAATTTCATATTATAAAAATTTGTTTTCGTTTTCGAAAATATACTTCCAATTTTGAAAAGGGACAATAAAAGACTGAAGTTTAAAAATAAAAAAAAATATAAAGTTTATAAACCATATAATGAAATATACCGAGTAATATTTTTCAATATTTTAAAGCTTGAATAACCTACAAATTACAAATTTTAGAAATTTTTTTTATAAACTACATTACCGGTAATCGTACATCTTGTAGAAGCATCCTTAGCGTCGTATATAAGAATCTTCAGGTCATTACGTAAACTCATCGAATAATCAATGTTTCTTAGCAATATAATAGGAGTGCTTGCCTTCAAAATGAGCTCATGATTTGGTACTCCAGAAGCATGAATTTTATTCAAGAACTTAAGAATATATAGGTAATTTAAAGTAGGGGAAATTGTGCCCAACTAATTTCCCTTCCAAATGCAAAACTTTGTGAGTCATCCATCCTTGATCAATTCTTGATATATGGCTGATATATTATAGTGCATTATTCTTGATCTACAACTTTTATAAAAGAGGAATTTACTTAAATAGCACCAAAACATAATGACTTTCCCTAAATAGTACTACATGCGTTTTTTCTTCCCAATGTAGCACTTTTAGTCATTATGCATTAGTCATTATTCAAGTAAATATTCGCCATTACAGGACATTATGGACATTATTAGGTGCTATTTAAGGAATAAAACAATTTAAGTGCTATTTAGGGAAATGACTTAAGTTTTAGTGCTATTTAGTGCAAATATTTCTTTATAAAATGGTAAAAATTTAGTGCATTATTATTACATTATTAAAATAAAGGGAGGAAATAAATAAAAATGGTAAGAATTAAAAAAGCCTTGAATTGGATTTTATTTTTAAAAGAAGATACCGTTATAAGGTGGATTATTACAATATTAGAAGGAAATAAATTTTAATAGAAATAAATTATTATACGGTGCGTTATTATTACATTATAATAAGAAGGAAATAAATTATCTTTTCTTTTGTTTATACGGTGCATTTTTTGTTTAAAAATAAAAAAATTATAAAATTTTGTTTCCTTCTGGGAAATAAATTATCATACTGTGCTTTATTATACTTCCATTTTTGTAAAGGTATGGTAAATTATGGCTTTGTTTGGTAACAGCGTTTTCAATTAGCGTTAGCGTTTTGGATAAACTTTTAATGGTGCAGATTAATTCTGGAAACGCTAATGCTAAAAGCTACCGTCGGATAGCTTTTTCAAAACACTAACGCTGATTCCAAACAGGGCCTATATACGGTGCATAATTACATTATAAGAAGGATATAAATTATTATACAGTGCATTAATATATTTCTAATTTTGTAAATGGCAAGAAATAAATATTCGAGTATTTTTTAGTATATATTTTTATATGAAAATAAATATTCAACAAAATATATTTAAGTTTGCTTTTCAGAAATTTTACTACAAGTTTTCTAAGGGACGTAAAACACTCATATAATGATAGTAAGAATTTTAATATCATTTAAATAGCTATTTATGTGGAAATTAATTATTACATGCATTATGTAAATGAATGAACAGTTATGTAAACAGACAAAAAAACATTCATATAATGATAGTAGGAATTTAAATATCATTTAAATAGCGTATTTATGTGGAAATTAATCATTAAATTGCATTGCTAGAGCACTGGAAATGGTCCTAACATTCGAAGAGTTTTTGATGGTTTTAACACCAAAGAGGCGTTAAACACCGTCCCCTTGAGGCTTCATCACTTATGCGTCAAATGTTTAACACAGAAAGAAGAGAAAATGTGTGGGTCCCTCCATTAAAAACAAAAAAAATTACATTATTAGTGCCATAAGACTAAAAAAATTATTTTTTTACTCTTTATATTCACTCTCTTTTTAAAAAATAAAACATACACAAACACACTTTTTTTACTCTATATTTTTTTGTTTAATGTAATATTTTTGTTTTTGAATTTTTTTAGTAATGTAATTTTTTGTTGTTTTTATATTTAATGTATTTTTTTTATTGATTGTAGTTTTTTTATTTAATGAATTCTTTCGGTTTACAATATGTCATTACAACCCGGATTCGATAGAAGATATTCTTAGTCACTTGAATAATCAGTAATTTCTTCATAATGTAATGTAATTTTTATTTTTTATTTTTGTTGTTATTATTCAAACCTTATTTTGTTAATGTACTTTTTATTGATTGTATTTTTTTATGTAATGAATTATTGAAACTCTAATTTGAAGCCCCGAGGCTTCAACCCCATTTCTAGTGAAATTCTAGTGCATGTTAAAGCTGATGTGGCAGAGACAAAAGTTTTGAATCACAGGTTTGAAGCCTCAGAGCTTCAAGACCAATACCAGTGCTCTTACTATTACATTAAAAGAGGAGATAGATTTTTATGGAAATAAATCAACAATGTAAAGGGAATAAAATAAATTATTTTACAAATAATCAACAATTATGTCAAGGGATGGTATAATTTTACGTTATAAAAATTTGTTTCCTTTTCACAAATTATACTTTCAATTTTATAAAATGGTGTGTAAATAACTGAAGGTTAAAAATAAAGAATTTTATAAAAATGTGTTTCCTTTTCAGAAATTAATTATTTGTATAAATAGACACTCCTCCTGTGCCTTGGAGAGAATGTGAAATTTGCATTGAATAGGACTAAAACATAAGTCATTTTCCAATATAGGAGTTAAACTTTTTTATTCCCTAAATATGACTTAATAATGACTAGCGAAAAGAATAATGTCCAAGTAATGCTGGACATTTAATTGAATAATGACTAATAGATAATGACCAATGGTCCTATATTAGGAAATAAAAACATATGATCCTATATTGAGAAAGTTATTATGTTTTAGTCCTATTTAGGTAAATTACCCTTGGAGAAATCATATCCACTTCTCAGCGATATATTGATCCCGCATTTTCTACAAACATGAGTATACAAACATAGGTGTGTGGTTGACGCTCGAAAAGATTAATCAAAGTTGTGCCACTTTCATGATTAAATTGAGAGCTATAAGGGTTTATCAAACTCTGCTCATGCTCGAGAGTTAGAATCTCTTGATGTTATCTTTCATGATCAAAAGGTTAATTATATTTTTAGCGCAATCCAAAATCAATGTAAGTTTTAAACAAAATAATTATAAATAAGACAGAATTTAATGCTTCCATTGACAGGGAGATCAGATCCATGTACAAATAAAAGATTCGCATATCGATACTTTCAAAGATGATCTCCAAAAAACGAGGTTTATGCTTTAACAAAGTTTAGCATAATTTTCAAACAACTAAAAGGATCCCTCATCCTTATATGCTACAATTTTTTGGCAAGACCAAACTTCAGAAAATATCATCAAAATTTTTTCATAATTTTCGAAGGAAATTTATAACATTCGATGATATACAGTTATTGCGCTTGGTTGACAACATCTTGTTATTTGATTCATAAATAATAATTTATATTTAATATTGTTTTAAGTTACATATATGTTGAATAAAATAAACCTTATGTCCTGTGTAATTAAACTCAGATGGCATTAGAAAAGTTGTTAATCCTACAATGCCAGAAGTTCGCATGGTAAATGGCGCTCTCGATCGAGAGGATGATTGAGGTTATGTTGGAGAACCATAGGTATACATAATGGCCTTGTTTGGAGATTAGCAGTTAGCTGTTGGCTGTTGGCTGTTTGCGTTGGCTGATTTGAGTGGCTGTTTAAATTAGCAATTTTGACCGGTTGATTGTATTGGCTGTTAAAGAAAACCTGTTTGGCACATTCAGCTACCCATAAATAGCTGTTGGTAGTGAAAATTACATTTTTAGACATCCCTACGTATATGTAAAAATTAATTTGCTATTATAATGAATTAATTTTTTAAAAGTTTGATAAAAATACCAAATTATATAAATAAATTACGTACTTGAAACTGGATTGCGTGGCTGAAAATTTTGAGAATTACATTTATTGGTGTAGTTTTTTTGCTTTGTCCAACATGCAAAATAATATGAATAATTCTTTTTTGTTAAATATGTGTGGAACTCCACTAAAAAGGTATACAATTTTTTCAATCGGTCAAGTCATACCATACTCCGTATGGATGTACAAAAGGGCAAATAAATAAAATACTCCAAAATGCCAGTGAAAATGCTGCAGTGATTAGCTTTTCAAATTTCAGCAGTTTGGATCTAAAAGCCAACCTTAAAAGCCACGTCCCAAACATTACTTTTGGTTGTTTTGACTAGTTCAAACTGCCATATATGGTCAAACTGCCAAATATGGGCTGAAAAGCCATTTTCCAAACAAGACCAATGAAAAGTTGGTTATAATTGATGTCGATTTTTTTTTTCGTGGTTTCTAATTTTATTAATTTTATTTAATCTATCGTTATGGGAAATCAACTAAATTGTACTTTGTGGGCTCATCATATTGATAAGGTCATTGAGGGACTTAGGCCCCGTTCCATTCAACTTATTTTTTCTGCTTTTTTCTTATTCTTATTAAAACTAGATCAGATCAAATCTAATCAGATCAGACCAGATCAGATCTAATCAGATCATATCCAATCAGATCAAATCAGATCCAATCAAGAATTATTATTATTATTAGGAATTATTATTATTATCATCATCATTATCATTATCTTTATTACCCCATACTTTTTAAATTCCATACCTTTTATCTATTTCACTTGATACGATTCTTTCAAAAATAAATTTAATTTCTCTTGAAAAAATATAAGAAGAAAGAAAATGAAACTTTTATGCGATTATAATTTATGTAGAAAAAATAAAAGGATATGAATCACAATTTTTTTCTTAAAAATAAAAAAGATTAAACATTAGAAACAAGTTAAATTGAAAACTAAGAAAGTAATCGTTAATTATTAGACGTCAGAAAAATTATTTTTAAAATACATTGACAATGTCAATCTAATTCTACTTTTAAAATACATTTTTATTACTACCTATAATTTGAGTTTCTAAAGTTATTACATTATAAAATATGAATGAAAAATTATTATTACATTATATTATTACATTATAAATTTTGGATTCAATGAGTGGAATTGAAAAGAATATGAGTGTGTATCATTTTATACAATGTATTATTTGTAGCATACAACCTTTTTTTGTCAAGAACATCTAGCATGTAATACATTATTATACAAGATGCAGAAAAATGTATCATTTCATTTCTTAACATTTATATTTTATAAGGATGAGATATTTTAATAAAATACTATCCTAAAATGTATATATGAATTAAAAATTTATTCTAATGTATATATGAACTAATCATTAAAATATTAAATCAATATTCTTATTACAAAAAAAATAATCATAAAACAAAAAATATTATTACATTATAATATGAATGATTATTCTAATATATGAATCAACTAATTTTGTTTCATTAAAAAATAATCATAAAATAAAAAATATTAATTATATTTTATTATTAATTATCTTTACAATTTTCAAAAGTTATTATAAAGTCAGATCAAATTATTGATTTTAATTTTAAATCAAATCATAATTAATCAGATCAGATGCGATTTAATCAGATCAAATCATATCGATCCAATCAGATCAGATCCAATCAAATTAGATGAGATCAGATCCAATCAGATCAAATTAGATCAGAACTACAAAAAAATCAGATCAGAAAAAATAAGTTGAACGGAACAGAGCCTTAGTGAAGGCTCATCAAATCCACAAATTCTTTTGACGCAACTCGTGAAATCTAGGCGATATAGTGGTATTAGTATTATACTCCCTCCGTCCCTGAAAACCTTTTTCCTTTGTTTTTTCATCCGTCCCAAAAAACACTTCTCATTTCTATTAAAAAGTCACTTTTACCCCTTACTTTTTCATACCCTACCTATCACATCATACATTTTTACTAATAATCTATCCATCAAATCATACTTTTACCTATCACATTAAAGGACATTTTTGGAAATTCAATACCAAAATACACTTCCTTAAATCCCTCTTCAAAATCAAAAATTCCATGTTTTCCGGGACGGAGGGAGTATTATTAGTTAATACTACTTTTATGCGTAGTATAAATCTTTTACATGAATAAAGATTGTTGTCTTTTTAAATTTTAAAAAAAGTCACTGTTACTACATTTTATAGTGTCAGTAAAGTTGTGTTTAATGAAAGATCAAGTGAAGTTAGAGATTTTAGAGAAAAGTATGTTCGTACCGATTGATTTGATTTATGGTCTTCCTCTTATTACCAAATTATTTTTATATAAATTAAAGCATACAAGTTATTATCGTGTGGTGGAGATAATTTATCTCAAAGTTGCAGCATTGTATCAACGCAGTCTGGGCCAAGGATGATCCACACAATGAACAGTTGATGATAATCTTTATTCAAGATCTCAAATCTATGAATACTATAAGGTAATGCATAGATTCGCCAATACAAGAAAAAGATATTTAAATATCTTGCAAAATCACTTGTACAAAATTTTAAAGTTATTAAAAAAATATTTCGTATTTAAAATTTATATTATATCTATTCTAGTTTTGTAAAATTCCGATAATAAACTACAATTTATATAACTATTTTTTAATATTTATATAACTTTTAGGACATAAAGCAATCCATGCATTATATTAAAACGTTCTTATTCATTTCTACAACCGTAAATAAAAGTAATAAAGTAACAAAATTTCAACCTTTTTTATATAGAAAAAAGTGCAGTTTAATGAACAATTATTTTGGAAATAATTTAATATGGAATTATATGTTTGTTGTTAATGTACAAATTTGATAATGGAAATAATAAAAACATAAATATATTAATGGTAATGTCTTAAAAGTACTGTAATATGATGCAAAAAATTAATGTATTACCTTTTGTATAATGAACGTTCCGGCAATAAAAATCTTGATATACAATATATAGTACATTATTATATACAATAAAATAATACTCATTATTATTATATATAAAAATATTATAATACTGATTAATAATTAAATTATTAAAATCTACAATGACAATATATCAAATTAAACACTAATAAACAATACAAAATGTTGTGAAATGAAGAGGAACCCTTTTGTCTATACAAATATGTTAAGTTACTTTGTTTATATATATATATATATATTAATAGTATATTTAATACTCCCTCCGTCCCATGAAACATGGGACTTTTGCTTTTTAGGAGGAATTTAAGGAAAGTGTATTTTGGTATTGAATTTCCAAAAATGTCCTTTGATGTGATGGGTAAAAGTATGATTTGATGGATAGATTATTAGTAAAAAGGTATGATGTGATAGTTAGGGTATAAAAAAGTAAGGGGTAAAAGTGACTTTTTAATAGAAATGAGAAGTGTTTTGTGGGACGGATAAAAAAAAGGAGAAAGATTTCATGGGACGGAGGGAGTATGTATTTGTAGAAGGGTTACTATTGGATAATCGGTGATATGGTTGAGATTGAGAATACAAGTGAATGATGCTATCTTTGATGTACAAAGTGAAAGAGTAAGATTCTTCCAAATGGTTCACGGTTCAAGTGGAAAAAATGCAACGGGGACTATCTTGACGGAGTTTATAAAGTAATAGTATTTATATTTTATATCTTTAATAACATATAAGCACATACATTTTTTATTTCAATACTAAATATAAATTCCGGTTATATATTTTTTATTTGAATACTTAATATATATTTTGGTTACTAGGTACAAGGTTAGTCTTTGAGTTATAGACAGCTCATTACATCTTTTGGGATAAAAAGTGTGTCCAACTATTTGGTATGCTGGCTAGCGCAATGAGAACTTTGGCGTGTGAGGTATGTCATTTCAAATAAAATGTTTTTCACAAATATTTAAAGTGTTGGGATTTTAAGCGCGTAAGACTATTAAAATATCAAGAACGTGAAAAATAAATAAACACACTACACAAGAAGAAAATATGAGAGAAAAATTATATCTTCACTATTTCAGAACGATACACAAAAAACTCTCCCTGTTTACAAGTGCTAAATACCAGACACTTATAAACAGACTTTTCACACCCTACACCCGAATGTATTTTTCGAGTAACTAAAACCAGTTACTCCCTACACTCACTCACACAATGTTGGTGATATCTTGTGTAACACCTCTCTCTTTAACCTTCCTCTTCCTTTTATTTTTTTTTCTCCCACACTCACAACCGTGTTGTTCCATGGCTATTAAATAGCCAAAAAACATAATAGTGGGAATATTAGCAGACAACTCCAAGAGGAAGACAACAAAACTCCAAAAAAAGGCTCTCCATCATTGCAGCTCATTTCTTGGTTGTTTCCACCCAGCAGCATCTCATTTTTTTTTCTTCTTTTTGTTTTAATTATTTAATCAAAAATATCTCAACAAACTCCACCTTGATTAAATAATAAAACTTGGTCCGGCTCCACCTCGCTCGTTCCAGTGAGGTCACAGCTTCCACCAGCTGGAGAAACTTTAAACGTCACCCGCTTCTTCCATGCAAATGCTCCGCTCGTTGCACTTGTAATTTTTCCTTCTGACAACTTCCGTGTCAAATCTTTTTCAACAAGTTTATACAAGCCCTTTGACAAAACTCCTTTTGCTACCACTATTGCTCCCCTAGAAATTTTTAACACTCCACCTTGAGCAAAAATTCGGCAGCCTTCTGAATCTAAAGCCCCCAATGAAATCAAATTTCCTTTTAGACCCGGTACATGTTTCACTCCAGTTAATGTTCTCACCACGCCATCAAACATGCGAACTTGCACTGTTCCGACCCCTGCAATCTTGCTTCGTGCACCATTTGCCATCTTCACAGCACCCCCATCACAAGTTTGATACGTATCAAACTGTTCCTTAATTGAACACATGTGAAACGAACAACCCGAATCTAATATCCAATCCGATTTACCTAGACTCTTTGTGGTTGCCAAAAACAAGTCTTCTTCACTTGCTTGGTTCGAACTTTCTGCAACCGCAGTCACGGGTGTTTTCCCGTCCTTCTTTTCCTTCCTCCTCTTTGGACAATCCCTTTTGAAATGACCCTCTTCATCGCAGTAGTAACACCGAAAGCTTTTACTACTCGATTTGAAGCGTTGGGACGCGTCGCCCCTCTCTTTAGACCGTCTTCGTTCCCGACCAGCTCCTTTTGCTACCAAAGCTTGACCGTCATTTGATACCCCGTTGCCACCCCGCCGAGTCTCGTTCATCAACAACGCAGCAACTACTTCATCAAATTTTAAGGTCTCTTTTCCAAACAAAAGCGTGGTCACGATGTTGTCAAAAGATGAAGGCAATGAAGCCAACAAAAGCAGCGCCTTGTCCTCCTCTTCAATCTTCACATCAATGGATTCCAACTCTGTTGTAATCTTGTTGAATTCATCCAAGTGTCCATTAAAGTTAGCTTCCTCCGCCATTTGGAGACCAAACAATCGTTTCTTCAAGTATAGCCTACTTGTCAACGATTTCGACTTGTACCGGCTCTCCAGCTTGTCCCAAATATCTACCGGGTCCGTCAAACCGAGAACCTCCCGAAGAGTATTATTTGCAAGGCATAGGCATATTGTACTTGTTGCCATGTCCTTCAAATCCTCCCACTCTTCTTCCGACAATTTTTCCGGTTTGTCGTTCTTCCGATGTTTGGCCCACTCAGCATCCGTCATTTTTTCTATCCTCTGAACCTTCACCTTCATAGCTTTGATTGTCCCTTCCCGAGTAAGAACACTTTTTACTCGTTGTTGCCACAAAGTAAAATCGCCACGTCCATCGAAAGGTTCGACGGAAACATTCGAACTTTTTACCGATGCCATTTTTCAAGTTCTTCGACTTTCTTCTCTTACCGCTTAGAAATCCCTCCGCCCCACTTGTAACTTGGCTCTGATACCAATTGTTGGGATTTTAAGCGCGTAAGACTATTAAAATATCAAGAACGTGAAAAATAAATAAACACACTACACAAGAAGAAAATATGAGAGAAAAATTATATCTTCACTATTTCAGAACGATACACAAAAAACTCTCCCTGTTTACAAGTGTTAAATACCAGATACTTATAAACAGACTTTTCACACCCTACACCCATATGTATTTTTCGAGTAACTAAAACCAGTTACTCCCTACACTCACTCACACAATGTTGGTGATATCTTGTGTAATACCTCTCTCTTTAACCTTCCTCTTCCTTTTATTTGTTTTTCTCCCACACTCACAACCTTGTTGTTCCATGGCTATTAAATAGCCAAAAAACATAATAGTGGGAATATTAGCTGACAACTCAAGAGGAAGACAACAAAACTCCGAAAAAAGGCTCTTCATCATTGCAGCTCATTTCTTGGTTGTTTCCACCCAGCAGCATCTCATTTTTTTTCTTTTTTTTGTTTCAATTATTTAATCAAAAATATCTCAACATAAAGAACATTATGACTTAATTTGATGTAACACGTTAATATCCATGAATGTCATATTGGCATGATGATTTCAGCATGCTTCCAAAGGCGCTTAAAGACATACTCCCTCCGTCCCTAAATAAACTTCCTCTTTCGTTTTTTCTTTGTCCCCAAATAAACTTCTCTTTTCCCTTAAAAAACCCCTTTTACCCCTTACTTTTTCATACCCTACCTATCACATCATACCTTTTTACTAATAATCTACATATCACATATTACTTTTACACATCACATCAAGGGTATTTTTGGAAAGTCAACACAAAAATATCCCTCCCTTAAATCCTCAAAAAGTCAAAAACGGAAGTTTATTTAGGGACGGAGGGAGTAATTGAAAAGAGAGTTCTATTTAGTGTATTTATTAAGGGGGCATTGAGAACCAATAAAATTATGTCGAAAATAGTTTTTATGGACTGTATGATCTTATATGGGATAAGTCAATTGTCTCCAAGAACGTAACCATTGAAGTGGAAGATGATTTTGAACAAATGTGTAACAAACATGAAAAAGATATTGACAATCTAGAAATGGTACATATTTGATACTATATCTTTTTAAAATAAATATACAAATTATTTTACACAAATAATTTATACTTGCAGATTGGTTCTAATGATCATTTGAAGGTTTTGGGACAGTCGAATAACCAAAAGATGGTGGAAACTATAGGAGTAGATGAACCCGTGAAGAGGAATATAGAAGATGAGTTGAGTTTAAGTGCAAGTAACAAGAAGCTAAAGGCGGTGATGGTGGAGAAGAGTACCAAAGGAATATCTATGATTTTCATGTGTTTAAAGAACACATAAAAATCTAGGATATTCCTTTATTACTCTTTCTCCACCATCACTGCATTTAGCTTCTTGTTACTTGCACTTGAACTCAACTCATCTTCTATATTCCTCTTCACGAGTTTGTGTACCCCTATAGTTTCCCCTATTTTGGGTATTCGACTGTCCCAAAACCTTCAAATGATCATTAGAACCAATCTCCGAGTATAAATTATTTGTGTAAAATATTTTTGTGTACACACTTATTTTTTAGTCCTATTCAGTGCAAATTTCACTTGTTCAAAATCATCTTCCACTTCAATGATTTCGTACTTGGAGATGATTGTCTTATCTCATATAAGATCATACACTGCATAATAATTATTTCGGACATAACCAGAATATATATTTAGTATTCAAATAAAAAAAATATGTTCATAAGTTAAGATATAAAATATAAATATTATTAACTTATAAACTCCATCAGGATAGTCACCATTGCATTTTTTCCACTTGAACCGTGAACCATTTGGAAGAATCTTACTGGTTGCACTTCCTACATCCAAGATAGCATTATTCACTACTTGTGTTCTCAATCCAAACCATATCACCAATTTTCTAATAGTAACCCTTCTGCAAATACATATTAAAAATATTATTAATGGATATAAAAACAAAGCAACACATTCGTATAGACCAAAGGGTACCTCTTAATTACGTTACATTTTTATTCTTTATTATTGTTTATTTTTTATTTATTGGCATTGTAGATTTTAATAATTTTATAATTAATCAGTAATATAACAGTTTTTATATATAATAATAATTAGTATTATTTTATTGTATATAATAATGTACTATTGTATATCTAGATTTTTATTACTAGAACGTTCATTATACAAAAGGTAATACTTAAGTTTGTGAAGTTTGTGACAATTTTGTTTGTGAACCAAGCATTTTCCTACTGACTTTTAAGACATTACCATTACTATATTTATTTGTTATTATTTCCATATTAAAATATGTACATTAGCAACAAACATATGACTCCATATTAAATTATTTCCAAAATAATTGTTCATTAAAACGCACTTGTTTTTTCTGTATAAAAAGGGTCAAAATTTCGTTACTTTGTTAATTTTATTCACGAGTGTAGTAATGAATAAAAATATTTTGATATAAGGAACAGATTGTTTTATGTCCTAAAAGGTATAAAAATATACTCCCTCCGTCCCAAAAAGATTTACACCTTTCAAAAAAAATTGTGTCCCACAATCTCCTACCCATTTCTATTAAAAAACTACTTTTACCCCTTACTTTTTCAAATCCTACCTATCACATCATACCTTTTTCTTAATAATCTACACATCACATCCTTCTTTACCCATTACATCAAGGGTATTTTTGGAAAGTCAACACAAAATTATCCCTCCCTTAATTTCAACTTTAGTCAAAACATGTAAATCTTTTTGGGACGGAGGTAGTAAAAAATAGTTATATAAACTGTAGTTTATTATCAGAATTTTACAAAACCGGAAGAGATATAATATAAATTTTAGATACGAAATGTTTTTTAAATAATTTTCAAATTTTGTACAGATGATTTTTCATGATATTTAAATATCTTTTTCCTGTATTAGCAAATCTATGCATTATCTTATAGTATTCATAGGCCTGAGATCTTGAGTAGAGATTATCATCAAATGTTCATTGCATGGATCATCCTTGGTCCAGACTGCGTTGATATAATGCTGCAACTTTGAGATAAATTATCTCCACCACACTGTTGGAATTTTTGGCATTTTTAATAGGCATTAAATGGACCAACTTGGGTATATTTGTCAATAGGTCCACTAACGGTTTTAACCGTTAATTAATGGACGCATGTTCTCTTAAATGAGATAAATGTTTTGATAATTTATACGCCAAAAATGGTAAAGGGTGAATGAGAAATTGATTCTCTGAGTTAACCCGTTAATAGAAGAATATGGCCTGGTAAGGATTGCAATTTTTGCAATTTTACTGAACAAATCTTCTATTATTAATTTTACGTATTGTTTAAACTTAGTCCATTTTTACGGAGTTAACTGACCATTAATCTCATATTATTCGGGACAAATTTTAAACGGAGCATAACGTAACGGACGTGTTAATGGCTAATTAATCACCATTAACACGGTATTAAGTGTGCCACAAATGCCATGGATTAATGGTGTAGGAGTTACATTTTTTAAATGGCTTGGTTATAAAAATCAAAGTGGCTCTCCATTGTTATGGGTGTGTTTCATACGTGAGGAAGGAAAAAAAGAAAGGGAAATACTTTCTTGTTTTTTTTGGAGAGAGAACTCTTGATTTTTCGGCCAACATTCCGGCAATCCCCTTCAAAGTTTTTGGTCCCCAACGTTCTTACGTTGTTCTTGTTCGTTGGTGTGTGGTTGGTCCGTACTATCTCCACACACGATAGCGGTTTTATCCTGGGAGGAGAGTGCCCACATTTTTCCAGTACGGTAGGCGGGCACTATTACCTTAAGGACAGCTCTGGCGACTCCGCTGTCATTCCACGGTGTTTTGTTTCTGCAGGTTCAGTTCATAAAGACCTCGCTGCATTCTGTCCTAGGACATAATGTCCTTGCTGTCCAGTGCATACTGTCCTCGCAGCCCTGTGCATAACGTCCTCGCTGTCCAGTGCATAATGTCCTTGTTGTCCAGTGCTTAATGTCCTCATACAACAAGGCTTTTTAAAGATATAGAAATTTATTTTCAATTCTATTTATCTTGTAATATTCTGAATAAGTTATAAATTTAGAATTTTATTTAATTTTATTTAATTTTATTTTTCGGGGCCGTTCATCTTCCCCGTCCGTTGTAATCCATACAAAAATTGTAACAATCTTAAGGTAGTAGTCATATCCATGCACGATGGCAGGTATGGACGGTTTTGGTTTTGACGCTCACACCGGAAACGGGAGTAGTTCTGAAACTTTGGTTGTGAACGTTTCGGCTGGATTGGGTGGCTCTGTTGGGCAGACCACTCCGATCAACGTTCCTTTTGGATCGAGTGCGGCCATGGGGTCCACTCCGATCACCACCTTCGTTGGATCGAGCGCGACTATGGGGTCCGCTCCGGTCACTTCGGTTATTGGACCAACTGCGGCTACGGCCGCAATGGTCACCTCACTCGGACCGAATATGGCTTCGGCCATACCGGTCATTCCCTCACTTGGACCGAACACGGGTGTCTTCACATCCGCACCGATTGGACATCCCACTATCATGCTGCCTGCGAACACTGTCAAAGAACCGACAAAGTTCACAAGTGTTTGCTTTAAAATATGGCAGCAAAGGATGTTATTTTGGCTGACCACCCTCAACCTTGCGAGGTACTTGAGGGACGACCCCCCTGTTGTGGGGGAAAACGCGGACGAGCCAACAGTCCAGGCCAATGTGGTGGAGCATCCGCTCAAAGAGAGTTCTTCCAAAAGGGTTAAGCACTATTGTACACATTTTAGTACCTATTTAGCACTGCTTATGAACGTAGTGTTTTCCGCCATTTAGTAGGTAGTGAAATCCCTGTTTTGTCCCTGTGGTCTTAAAAAGGTGAAGACTTGATTTGAACCTGGCAGTGGATTCTCCGATTCTTGAGCTCGGCAAATCAGGCGCCAGATTCGCA